TAAAAACTAATTCCAATATTAATAAAAACTATAACTGTATCTCAATGAAACTAAAATAACACTGGTGCAGAAATTCAGGCATGTGATCAGCTAAGGACAAAAAAGAAAAACTGTTTTTTTAACCATTCAATATGACCATATAAAATAGCAATACTTTATAATAATAAGTTATGTTTTTTTAACATTAAATTAATAAAGAAATATCATTATTGCAATAATACTATTGCATTGTTAAATAAAAAATATGTATTATTATTATTAGTAGTAGTAATAATAATTATTATAATTATTTTATTTTACAAAACAACAAAATTACAATGTTTACATTTATGCTTTCTTAGTTTATTTGCTTTCAAATGTTAAACCATAAGAGCTTTCATTTGCTTTGAAAATTGCAGGGAGACCTTAAAGGTACGGTCACATTAACTACGGTTGGGTAAATTTATAATTTAATATAACCATTATATAATTTCCCTTATTTGGATGGCAAAATGTCATTGACATTTAAACCGCACAATTATTTGTGGTTATCTCAAATAATTGCAATCAGATTGAATGAGACACAATGAGACAATTAATCAATAATAATAATCGCGACAGGCCAATCTTGGGTCCCACATCTCAGGCTGGAAAATATGGAAATCCATATACTGGGGAAAATAAAATAAATAAATAAATAAATACATCACTCACACTCTGGCATGTACATACCAACATCACTACAGTACAGAGATGATCGGCCCCTCTCTGAGGGAGTGGTGTAGCCTACTTGATTGTTCACGATGAGGTGGATGCTTCCACCTACTCTAAAATGGGGGAGATTTGACAGGGTGAAGGTCTCCGTTACGATGCCTTGGCCTGAAAACGAAGCATCGCCATGAACCTGCACAGAACAGATAAACTATTACGTTATATCATCAACTACTATGTATTAGCAAGGTGTATAATGTTGTTATTAGTGAACTGTACTAATCTGGAAACTAATATAGACATCCTAAAACTGATTGAAACATCTCTGCTCAGGACCTGCAGGCAGATGACTTTGTCTCCTGGTTGTGCATGAGGGTCAGCGGAGTAATCGCCGTCCTGTTTGACTTGCTGACGGCCACGAGTCTTTCCTTGCGTCACAGGGTTGATGGCCTCCAGGTGGGAGGGGTTCGGCAGCATAGTGACACGGAGAGGGTGTCCCGCCCCAAAGTCCAGCTCCACCGTGGAGGTTAAATGGGACAGCACGTCTCCAATAGAGGGAGAGTTCTCCGGAAACTCGCTGAGACCCCTCATCTTACGGAACATGAGCTGAGAGCGAGAAATGAAGAAGTATTTGGTTTGTCAAAAGTGTAATAACAGCTGCAGGCAATGACTCAATTAAAATGTTCCCACAAACCAGTTACAAAATAAACGGCCATTCCCTGGAGAATGAGTCTATTCATGTAGTATGAAGAGGTGGAGATTGTGACAATGGGTGAGGAATTAAACCAAGATGGCATAAACATAACTGACAAGGAAGAAAAACAAGGAATCAATTCCAAACCGAAGCTGTGCATGCAAACACAATTTTAAAGGGGTCCTATTATGCTCATTTACAAAGTCTTGATTTTGTTTTGGGGGATGTACTAGAACAGGCTCTCATACTAGGTTGTTCGAAAAACATTATTACAACACCTCTCTCCCCAGTTTGGTATGAACAGCTTGAATAGTT